TGTATCACAATCACAATCTCAATCACAATTTTAATTAAAATTTCCAGCACAATCACCACCATGTGTGCGGCATGGTGTCCGATCACGACCCGACCCGCTAGGACGTCTCACCATAATGTTGTGTGGATCGACATCACCCTTTTCTAGTAATCATATCATCCCAATAAAGGGGAATATTCTTATCACAATAATCTCATCCCAAATAAGGGGAATAATCACAATGCACCTTACACCTGCACGTGTAGTTTCAGGGTTAGGTTATTCCAACCTACCCTTCCTTGGTGACTAACGATACTCCTAAAAATATTTGGTCGTGCACATAAGGGAAACAAAAGTACAAATATATTTTATATTCACCTCATTATATTTCACACTATATATATCTTCATTAGTATTTTCAATCATTCACAATATCATTATTTCCTTGGCTCTATTGGCCATACGTATGATTCTTCATTTATGGCATGATGGTTGTATCTCATATTCTACACTTTTATTTCTTTACTTTCAAGGATCATCATCACAAACATCAACTTATTGAATATTCCAGAAATTATAACTTCAAGTTCATTCCTAATGAAGGCTTTAAACACAATAGTTTTCTTTCCAAAGAATGGAGCAAAATGACTAGCAATTGAAGCACAAGTTAAAATCATAAATGAGTGGTAAACCACTTATTCTTGAAATACTTTCCCAAAAAGGGAAATGCACTATCTCAACTCATGAGTATGTAAGAACTTAAATCACATTGGAAATATTTATAAAGAGGAGCATGGTGATTTACGATTTAAACATGACTTCAAATCAAATGCACTAGTTACAACAACCATGGCCACGTTTTATATCTCACTCTCATTTCTTTCACTTTCAAGCATATTTATAGATCATCATCAATAAGTGAATTTGGAATCAAGGCCTTAAGCATAAATATGAACAATAGGGGTCTTAGGCGCATTGAGTTTTTCTTTCATAATTGGGCATAACAACTTGCAATTTAAACATGATTTGAAATCATACTATCTCGACATATTGGTCACACTAGGATATATTCCCGATGGAGAACATAAGATGATAGGAGAATTTGGTGCACATTGTTTGTATATATCATTCAACACAAATTTATTCGGAATAGTCAAATATATAAGGAATAACTCGGAACATGGGAATTTGGAACTTGGGCCAACCATACTTGAAACTTACGGGAACATCATGGAATTCTATTCCAAGAGAGACGTTTAGCCAACATACCTTGTTTGAGATTTCCTTATGTTACTACAACGCCCCAACACTTCTAGCAATAACAATCTATAGGAAGATATCAAAAACTGGTTAATAATTAGAAGGATTCCCATGGTGTAACTCTCTTAGGAATTTTGTCAAACACCTAGTATGCAAAATAGACTACAAAACTCTATAATGGTAATCCCTTCCTCCCTCAACCAATTTCAACAAGAAACTAACCAAAATGGTTCATTAACCTCATATACTACAACCTATTGACACATGCATGGCCTATTTCCAACCCCACAATATACTTGAATTCATAACCTCTTGCATGAAAGCTTAGGAGTAGGACTTACCCCAATAGATGATGGTCTAGAGAGTGTCATCCATGATTCTTGAAGATTGGGTCAAGAATGGTTGATTAGAATGGCTAGGCCTTCTCCTTCTCTCTCTAAACTACTCTCACTTCTCTCTAAAACATTAGATATATGCTCCAAAATGAGCCCCAAAGGCTATTAATCAAAATGGGGTCGGGTAAGAAAATTTCCAAAAATGACCATCGAACTCAATTATGTGGTAGCAGAATTGATATGTGGCCAGCAGAATAGATATGTGGACAGAAGAATCGATTATGTGGCCAACAGAATGGATATATGGCCAACAGAACATTTATGCGGCCAGCAGAATGGTTTTCAAAATTTGCCCTTTTGTTATTCCACTATGCGATGCTTATGTGGTCTGCGGAACAGTTCTGTGGCCACGAACTTGACCGCAGAATTGCCTTCTTCTGCCAAAAGTTCCCAACAACACTTTCGTGCATTCTTCAACCTAAAACGTCTGCACCACGACTCGTTTTATAAAATTCTCTAACACATTAGCCTACTTATAACCACAAAACCTTAAATTACTTGCCGGAAATTTACGGGGCCTATCATCCTCCCCCACTTAGGATTATTCATCCTTGAATGAGGAGTAGAGTGTGCCCCAAACACATAACATAACACATCTCTTGTCTCACACATCTCAAGCTCCCAAATTTGATTAACTTCTAAATGTGACATCTGTACTAAATAAACTTTTCTTACATTACGTTAAAAGACCAAAGTATTATGCAGTCTGTAACGACCCGATCGGTCATTTTCAGCTTTAATGATTCGTTCAGTAGTTTGGGGACTTGAATGACTTAATATTGTGAATTATGGCTTGCGTGCGTGGTCGAAATTAATTTTCGGATATTTCGGGATGAAATTGGATGAATGGTTCTTACTTTAGAAGCTTAAGTTAAAAATGTTGATCGAGGTTTGACTTTTGTGGAAATGACCTCGGAACGGTATTTTGATGGCTCCGATAGGTTTGTATCGCGAATTTTGACTTGGTCGTATGCCCGGAATCGAATTCGGAAGTCCGTAGGTTCATTTTGTGTTGTTTTACTGAAAGTTCGCACTTTAAAGTCTTAGAATTTTGATAAGTTTGATCGTAGGTTGACTTCATAGCTATCGTGTTTGGATTTCTATTTCGGGACTAAGAATATGTCTGTTTTGCCATTTGGATCTTATACGCAAAGTTTGGCATCATTTGGAATTGATTTGGTAGGAATCAGACGCGCAGTTGTGTTTTTAGAAGTATTTGAGTTTCATGTTGATTTCATGTGTTTTGGAGGTCCGATTCATGGTTTCGGATGTTATTTTGATGATTTGATCACACGAGCGAGTTCGTGTTATATTTTTAGACTTGTGTTGATGGTTAGTTTGGAGCTCCGAGGGCTCGGGTGAGTTTCGGTTGCATTTTGGAGAGTTCATAGAAGGTTTAGATTTTGCTGGTGCTCTAATCTCACATTTGCGATACTGACCTGGGTTGGGCAGTGGTCGCATTTGCGATCATCTTGATCCCTTTCGTGATGTGAGGGGTTTCTCTTTTGCAATAACTTCCACGTATTTGCGGGGTTCACAAATTCGCATTTGCGACTGGACATAAAAGCTGAGGGACAAGAATTTGATCTCATTTTCATATTTTGGAACACTAGACTCGGTAGGAGGCAATTTTGAAGAGGGATTTTCATCTACAAATATTGGGTAAGTGATTTTGATCAATTTTCAACTATTTTAAATGATTATATGTGAGTTTTAACATCAAAATTATGAGAATCAAATTGAAATTTTGAGAAACTTTGTCTATATTTTGAAAAATAAAAATTTGAGTTTTGAGTTTTGAGAGTCGATTTGGACTCGGATTTTGAAACAAAACACATATATAGACTCGTGGGGTTCTAGGTAGTCGGAATCTACCCTTGAACCCGGATTTTGATCGGGCAAGCCCGGGGTTGACTTGTGAGAAATTGTGTAAAGATCATAGCTTTAATTATTGGAATTGATTTCTCTTCCATTATTTAATATTATTAAGTTACAATTAAGAACAAGTACCCACTGTCGCCCATTGATGACTAATTTGACCAACTTCAGGGAGTTAGAGTGTTCTCTAAGATTGATTTGAGGTATGGGTATCACCAGTTGAAGATTCGAGATTCTGATATCCTGAAGACAACATTCAGGACCCGCTACGGTCACTATGAGTTCCTTGTGATTCCTTTTGGGCTGACTATTGCCCCAACAACATTTATGCAACTGATAAACAATGTATTCAGCCATATCTTGATTTTTTTATTATAGTATTCATTGATGATATACTGGTGTACTCACGTAGCCATGAGGAGCATTCACATCATCTGAGGATTGTACTACATGCATTGAGGGAGAAGAAGCTTTGTTTCAAATTCTCCAAGTGTGAGTTTTGGCTTGAGTCTATGGCGTTCTTGGGGCACGTGGTGTCCAGTGAGAGGATCAAGGTAGATCCGAAGAAGATTGAGGCAGTTTAAAGTTGGCCCAGATCGTCTTCAACTACTGAGATTCGGAGTTTTCTTGGCTTGGTCGGATATTTTCACCGCTTCGTGGAGGGTTTCTCGTCCATTCCTTCACCTTTGACTAAATTGACCCAGAAGGGTGCCCCATTCAGGTGGTCTGATGAGTGTGATGAGAGATTTCAGAAGCTCAAGACTGACTTGACCATAGCTCAGGTTCTAGTTTTGCCTTCAACATTGAGTTCATATTCAGTGTATTGTGATGCTTGTCGGATTAGTATTGGGTGTGTCTTGATGCAGGAGGGTAGGGTGATTGCTTATGCTTCACGCTAGTTGAAGTCCCATGAGAAGAACTACCCGATTCATGATTTATGTGTTGGCAGCCATAATTCATGCATTGAATATTTGGAGCCGGTGGCTATTTTAGATTAGGAGGTTCGAAAATAGACGTCAAAGAATATAACTTTAGTGAAAGTTCAGTGGAGAGGTCAGCCAATCGAAGAGGCTACTTGGAAGACCGAGTGGGAGATGCAGAGCAGCTATCCACGCCTATTTGAGACTTCAGGTATCACTAGTAGAAAATGGTTCTATGGCAACAAATATTTTTGCAACGGTTCAAAAACCATTACTATAGATTGGTTATTGGAACGATTTTAACCGTTTCAATATGACATGGGTGATACCAGCACACTTTGGCTATAAAACTGTTGTAATTAGGTAAAAATCATTCCCATAGTGTTTTATTTTTTGCAATGTTTGTTTTAACCGTTCCAATAAATATATCTATTGGAACGGATCTTGAAAAAAATTCAATGGGAACGGTTGTCATTTCCCTCCTAAAATTTTTCCCCCTCAATATTCATAAACCCACTCTAGAACCCCTAATTATTTACATTATTTTTTATTAATTAATATTATTTCATGAAATAACCCATTGGTTCTCCTAATTCCCTACCCTCTTTCCCCTTTGAACGTACCCATCAGAAGGCCAAAACCATACCCCCGTATAACCTCCATCGTCTCTGCCACTATCCTGCCGTCAACCTCCGTCGCATCTGCCACTATCTCGCCGTCAACCTCTGTCAACACCAGCAGAACCTCAATTTTCTTTTTCGTTCACCTATAAACTTTTATCTCCTCCACCACAAACAACAACAATTCGATTAATCCAAGCTCCATGTTTTCAAATAGTCCCAAAATTCTAGGGTTTTTTTCTCGATTAAGCTCGACTACCACTTCTTGTTCTCTCTGAGCCCTAATTCTAGGTTTTCGCTCGACTCTCGCAAATTTTCTGATTTACTTTGCATGCTCTTCTTTTATTCCTTTTGTAATTTCTCAATAGTTGAGCCATAACTTGCAGATTCCATTAGCGAGGAAGAAATTGCAACTGATAGCTGTGGGATAAATATTGTAAGTTTTCTTAAACTCTTTTTAATATAAATTTTGGATAACCACATTCGCTAGTTGTGGTTTTGGATGAAAATTTCAGTTTTAATGTTCCTTTTTACTCGATTCACTGATTGAATGGGATTCAAATCCATATGACACAAGCATGAAAACGTATTTATTCGGACTTTAAAATTACTGAAACTTGGGGTTTTTGGTTTTTATTGATTTTCTTAGTTATCGTTCTTCATGTAAAATTTCTGTTTTATGAGGCTTTTTTTGTTGCATATTTGTGTCTATGGCTATGACTTAAGAATAATCTTGTCTTTCTAATAGTTTGATGCTTGTGTTTGAAACCAATATAGAATTCAACTAATCTGGCGGAGTATTTTAATCCACTAGATCTTGAGTCTGTATTTATCATTCGCCATGCGCATAGAGCAAATTATTAAATCAGAATTTGTAGAGGGCCAAAATATACCATTTTATTGAATCTGAAATAGGCCCTTTTGCTCTTGTTCTATTTTTTCATAAGTTTGTCAGATTCTTTTAGTAGCTTAGGCTTTTGAGAATGAGATAAGGATTACGTAATATACAAATGTTAGATATGGTCTCAGTAGATTAGCTAGTGTCGTTTAGTTCTATCTATAAAACTAAGTTCTCATTATTATAGATTAGCTAGTGTAGTTTAGTTCTATCTATAAAACTAAGTTCTCATTATTATAACCCTTTGCCTTCTGAGTTCTGAGTTCTGACTTCTTCAGAAAGGAGAGGGTAACCACTTGTAAGATAACCGAGAGAGTTAAATATTTTTTCGCATAAACTGTGTAATGTGAGTAGGAATCTGATCCTGTCCAGCAGAAAGGAAAAAATACTATCAGTCATCTGCTTTTCAACATTGTGCGAAACTTCAGATTTATAATATCAACCATAAAGAACTTAATTTAGAGTGAGATGTAGTTTTTCTTTTATTAGTAATAATAATTTTCAGGAAAGTATTTTTTGGTTAATTACTAGCATGTGACTGATCGACATTTTCTAATCAAACTTGAGAGGTATAATCAGAAGCACTGATGAGCTATTTCCATAAGAGGAAGTTTGTAATCTCAAAAGGTAATATTTTTCTCTAGTTGTGGTCTGACATCAGGTTAAAGTACTATGTCATATAAACTCTATGCCTAAACTTTGTGCCAAGTCAAACTTACGGCTAATTTAAATGGTCAAAGAATTTAGGGGAAGGATACATTGCGATTTTGACTTGCTTTTAAAAGATGCGCTATTTTTGTTTGGTGTAATTTATCCGATGTCGTTTTGATTATAAGATGACAACTCTCTGAACATGTTAAAATTTTAACTCACGATAGTGTTCTAATTAAAATTGGGTTAGTGTAGCAGCACTGAGTCATACTTAAGCTTTCTAAGAACGACTTCTCTTGTCCTTCCTTAACCTCCTGCTTGAAGGGTCGTGGCAGCATTATCATTTTGTACAATGCAGCAGTAAAATTTTATGTAGGATCATGGAGTCAAATTTTAGACTGAATGAGGATCAAGCTTCTTTGAGTTGAAAATTCTATTTGGTAAAGGTAAAGTTGTTAGATTGAATTGGGTTTAGGCTTCTTAGAGTTGAAGCTGGTTCCATTTAGTAAAGGTGTTGGTGGCAGAAGGCTTGCCTTGATTTTCTTTTTATATGTTTGTGATCAGTTTCTTTTTCTTTTTGTGGTCCACAATAGTAAGTAGTTATGTCTGGAGCCTCTTAAGTTTGATTCGAAATTGTATGACAGTTTCAAAGAGAAGAATTTAATGTGGACCAAAGAAGTTATAATTATAACACCACATTCTCTGAGGAATCATGCTAAAGTCATGGATCACTTGAGTTAGTTAAGCATTTCATGATTTTTCCTAACCATTGAGTTACTGTTGCCACTAGACAGTGGAAGGGATAGAGGTTGATGGGTTTATGATTTGTTTTAGTTTAGTCCTAACAACCATATCGAGGGAGTCAAAGGCTCAAAACAACACCTTATCTTTGTTATCTTGCTGTTATTGCTTTGAGAAGTTGTTAGTATGTGCTTATGATTATACCTTTTAGGGATAACTAGAAAATTGGAGTAAGTAGACACAGACGTCTAATGTGAGATGGAAAATTGAATCAAAAGAGCTGCCAATTTAGATTATCGTTTAGGAACAACGCCTGTTCTTCTCAAAAGTATAATGTGCCAGTTGAAAGTCACAAATTGAAAGATGACGAATTTCTTTATTTTCTTATTCTTTAACTGATGTTCTATTCTAGTTGAAAGTAGCAAATGAAAGTTGACGAATGTTTGTTTATTTGGGTTTGTTGAGGTGTCATTTTGCTTAGCTTGAATATTAATTTTGTGATTTGAATATGTTATATAGGATATTCATGGATAATGGTAATAAAAGTTGAATGAATCTCCTACGATGGACGAATGAGTATATCTGTGGAGAGAATAATTTTCTTGATAAGGAATTTGAACGAGCCGCCCAAGGAAATGAAATATTATATCCTTGTGCTGCTTCTTCTACCACTGCTCTCTTTCTCTCTCGCAAAGTCAGATTAGTCTAGTAATTTTTTTACTTTGCCTATGGTACTTAGTCGCTGCGTAATTCAGTGGTTGCCTTGCTAGTGTCATTACTATGATGCATATTCTTTTATGTTGCCTTGCCGGATCTTTGTTGTTGTATAGTCGTTGCGTAATTCTATGCTAATTGGTAAAGTTGTTGCATGAGGGAGAAGATCATCTTAGCTTACATACTGAACAAATGAAAAGTTGGGCCTTTTTTTCTATGCCTTATGGAATTTTGTATGTACGTTTTGCTCAGACTGTACTTGCGCATCTTCTGTTATATTTATAAGTGCAACTACTACTGCTTCCCTTCACTGGTTTGCAACTTTTATTCCCAAGACCATTAAGTGGAGATGATGTCTTGGTTGGCAACCTTTACTCCCAAGACTACTAAGTTTGCAGATATCAGGCCATTATGTTGGCAAAGTTGTACTTTTTAAACATCACAGTCACCATACGAATGAGACGTTACTTATACTTTATGTGAATGTATTTTCTTTAAAGTTTGGACTATTTGAGAAAATGTTTAGCAAATGAATTGGGTTTAATTGACAATGTAAGTTTGGATTTTGCTTATTCATCTCTAAACTACTGCTGGGAAGGGTCAGTAACTTCTTTCACATAATTTTCATTGAGACAGTTATCAGAATCCCTCTCTAATTATGTAGTAGGATAGAGGACTAATTTAGAATTATCTGAATTTCAAACACTTCCTTGACATTCAGCTTTTCTGAGATCCCAATAACCTATTTTCACCTAAACATTCATGGAAAGAAAATTTCCATGTACAGAATATGTATGCTTGGTACCTTGGGACAAAAACTAAATGAAATGCACTAATAAGTAATACCTACACTCATTTTAGTATTTTGTTCTACCAAGTTGAAGCTTTAATAGACCAAACACAAACAACATTTGGCTGCATGCAATTTTGAGGTGTTTTGCAAGCATAATAACTGAAACACTAAAACCTAATTATGAGAAGAGAGAAACATCTGAAGGGCATTACTTTGTAGAATTTGTTGAGTACGTGGAATTCTATATCTAGTATAAAGATTGCTGATAACCATACGTGTATGCAAGTTAGTATCAGGAATTAGCTAGTGGTCACAAAACCAAATCTGTGCAAACTGTCTTATTTTCCTTTTAAATCCTATAATGGGATTAAGATTCGATATATTGTTATTTTTTAGAAGCTTGCATACACATTTGATGTCCAAATTTGGGTCTACATAATTTGTTTATCTGTGGAAGAGCTAGGCTCATGACTAACATCTTGTATGTCCAATCATTTCTTTTTCTTTTTTGTTCCATATATTTAGTCCAGATATTCAATATCTTTGGGTGCTATGAGCATTCTTAGACCGGATTCTCTTGAAGGGTAATGACTTTATTTATCCTCTTTTGTAGGTGGAGTCGATCAAGAAATGCAAGATGAAGGCAGTGAAGATCTAGACCTTACTTAAGATGAATTTTGAATTGCTATAGATGACTGTTCTAGGAATCTTTTGTTATCAACATTTCGAAACTTACTCTCTTGAATTGTATTAAACTTATGCACTTGGGGTAGAACATTTGCTTTATGGATATTATTAGCTTGTTGGACAATTTATATTATTAATAGTTTCATTTTTTGATTTATTTAAATTTTAGGGTTAATATAATTTATTATATATATAAAAATTTATTTACAACAGGGGTTATATTTTTGTTTTAACTGAACTGTTGCAATAGCCTACCAGAACCGTTGCAAAGGGACACAAATGGTGTTTCATTAGAGAATGTAAACCGTTGCAATGGGTTCGGTAAATCGTTCCAAAATGTCCTATAAACCGTTCCAATAGGTAGTTAAACCGATGCAATAGCTTTTTCTTTATTGTTGTAGTTTATTATAAACCGTAACAATACAAATAAAACCAAACACGTAGTGTCTTTTTCTGGCAGTTGGGTATTTGTTCCATGCATTTACAATATGGTAGACGCGATCGCGGAGTTCTGAGATTTTGTGTTACGTGAACGCGGGTGTACGAACGCGTTCGCGAAGAAGGTAGGAGAGGTCTAGGATTCAGACGTGTTGTTCTCCGCGGTTGCATGAGTCAGTCCGCGATCGCGTAGGTTAGAAAGATTGGTCACCGTGTTTGCGACCTTGAGGGTGCGTTCGCATAGAAGGGTTTTTGGTCACTGAGGATTTTGTTCTTCGCGATCGCCTGAAATTTTCCGCGATCGCGATGTGTAATCGCTGGGCAGCAGCTTAAAATTCCAAATCGAGGGTTAGAGTATTATTTTCACATTTTTAGTTGGAGAGCTCGGTTTTGGGCGACTTTGGCAGGGATTTTAGCATCTTGGATCAGGGTAAGTGTTTTTGACTCGGATTCAACATTATTCCATGATTATATCTTTTGTTTAGCATTTAATTAGTGAATTAAAGTGAAGAAATGAGGGATTTTGTGGAAACTTTGGAAGAATGAAAAATGGAAGTTTGAAGGTCGATTTAATGTCGGAATTGGATGATTTTGGTATGGTTGGACTCGTAAGTGAATGGGCGTTTGGATTTTGTGAATTTGTCGGGTTCCGAGATGTGGGCCCTGGATTGACATTTTGATTTTGGTTAAAGAATTTAGCTTTATCGTATGTGATCGATTCCTATAACTTGTATTGATTATATCAAGTTATTTGTGACTAGGTTCGAGTAGGTCGGAGGCCGATTCGCGGGGCAAGGGTTTGTTGGAGCATTGAGTTGCACACTTTGAGGTAAGTAACACTTCTAAACTTGTTACTGAGGATATGAATCTCTAAAATATGTGTTATATGGTTGGTGTTGGGGTGACGCACATGCTAGGTGACGGGCGGGTGGGCGTGTACCGTGGTAATTATGACTCAATTGATTATGTGGTACTGTGTAGTTATCTAGTCTTGTTTTTTCCGTGTAATTCCTACGTGTTAGAGTAAATGAGCTGTGATTCATGTTGGAAATCATGTTTAGGCTATGTGCTTATTCTGTTGGGACCCACTAAAGTCATTTCTCCTATTGAGTTATTTGCTTATGTTGCAATTATGTACCAGTCATACTTATTCATTTGCATATCATATCTTAGTCTCTATTATTATTTACTATTACATCATGTTATCATTGTTTGGGCTAAGCGGTATGAGATTTGTGAGCCCGTGAGACTAGAGAGATTGATGACTGAGTTGGGGCCTGAGAGCCAGATTGTGAGTGATATTGTGGATCGGGATGCACGCCGCATCAGGTCATATTAGCTTTTTATATATATCATTGTTATTATGGATCGGGCTGCAAGCTGCAACCACTATTTTAAAAGGCGTTTCTAGGGCGATCCCCGGGGCGAGGCATACCAAAAACGCCCCGGGGCGATGGTGTGGGGCGAAAGTCTCAAGAGGCGTACACCCAATAATTTGGGGCGTACGCCCGGGCGTTCGGGGCGTACGCCTGGGCGTTTAGGGCGTAGGCCCGGGCGTTCGAGGCACGTTGTTTTAGTGAGGAGTAAGCCCTAGAGACTTTTTCAAATTAAAACAAAATTTGTTGAATTAGTCCTTCATATAATAACCAAATTCTCAAAAGTCAGTTTGGTAATTGCTCAAAAGGTTTAAAAAGGAACTCAAAAGTATTAAATTTAAAAGTCAAGACCTTTTTTATTGATTTAAGCCCTAATTCATGATTTTTCCATTTTTTATCTTGTCCGCTAGTCTGCTAATATCTCCCAAAATCAACGAATATTTAATTTTTTTTTACAAATACAAAGAGAACTACATTCTTCTTCATAGCAGCAAATTCAAAGTCCAAATTGCAAGTTAATCATCCTTTTTGTTCATCCATATAGAAAACATTATTCTTTTAGACTCAAATTACTTGTGCTTGTACGTAGCGTATAATAGATTATTTTGATTAGTTTTTTGTGGGGATGGAGCACACATATATATAGTTTTCTTCAATTTTTATGCAATTTTCCTGTTTATAAATATTTACTATCATTATATTATTTTATAAAATATTAAAAATTAAATACCTATGGAGCTTACGCCCCGTGCCTCGGGGCTTACGCCCCACTGAGGCATATGTAAAATGCCTCGCCTTATGCCCACGCCTTTTAAAACACTGGCTGCAACAGGATTTATTGGCTTATTTATTATTGTTGATTGGGATGTACATCACAGCAGGACTTATAGGCTTTATATCAGCGCTTGAGCAGGATTCGCCCCTCTGAAGTCTGACATACCAGCAGTGAGTGCAGGCACAATGATTTATATGCACGTGCTTTGGTGAGAGGCACAAATGCCAGGCACCTATACAATGTTGAGTGATTGTGTGTGATGAGAGGGAGTTTGAGATAGACAGATTGAGTACTCTAAAAGTGTGAGTACCTGGGATTATCACTATGATGCATTACATTTACATACATATTTGACATGTAGGTATAGAGATGTAACATTCTGCATGCTAGTTGTATTTGACATACTTTATCAGTGTTGAGCTTAAATTGTTGAATTGAATGCATGCCTAAAAATCTGTACTGTGAACGAGATGGATATGGAGATTTCTCTAAGTTATTACTTTCATTCTCTTTGTTATTTCTCTGTTGTCATTATTCTGATTCTGGTTGTATCCTTCTGAGCTCGTCACTGCTTTCAGCCCAAGATTAGTGTTGTTACTTATTGAGTATATTGGGTCGTTGTACTCATACTACACTCTGCATTGCGTGTGTAGATCCAGGTACATCTAGATGTGGTGATTGATATATCTGGTGCTAGTACCTGATCGGACACTCCGAGGTAGCTGCTATGATGCCCACATACCTTGACTCTTCTTCTTTTCATTTTTATTCAGTACTGTTCTATTTTCTCAGACAATTGTACTAGAGTTTTAGACTATGTTGACACTAGTAGCTCATGTACTCAGTGATACCAGGATTTTGGGATTGTTGTATTAGAGTTGCAATTGTTTTATCGGTTATTTATAGGACTTTCCACTGTTGAAATTATTAAATCATATTTTTAATTCAAATATGTAGTTGTTATGTGACTGTTGGCTTGCCTAGTAATGTGCTAGGCACCATCACGACAGGTTGGAATTTCGGGTCGTGACACCTGCCTTCTGTGCGTGAGTTGCACCGTTAGCACGTGAGTTATCCGTGCGCATATGATATATTGTTACTGTTATCACATGAGTTATCCGTGCGGATATGAAATATTGTTACTATCTTAGCACGTGAGTTGTCCGTGCAGATATAAGGTATTAATGGTATTGGCACATAAGTTGTCCGTGCTGCTCATGAGTTATCCGTGCAGCACATGAGTTGTCCGTGCGATTGTGATTTGTAATATGGGCACAAGATGCCAAGTTATTAGGGTTCGTGATTTGAGACCCGTGGTTTGTGATTACGAGGTGTGGTTCCTCGGGGAAATTCTTGTATAAGCCTTGTGTGAAAGCGGTTGTTTTATAGGGTTGTTACTTGTTTTCCTTTACTTGGTTTCATCGGACTTTAACTGTATTCTGTTTACCTTACGGTGTTATTACCTGTTTGCTCCTTGTTGTTAATTGTTGTTTCTTGTTATTATTGCAAGTATTGTAACATTATTTTCACCATGTTTAGCCTTATATTGCTCCATGTTAGTTTTATATTCTTACTTGTACGGGTTATTATGTCTAGTAGGTGTCTTGACTGTCCTCATCATTATTTCACCAAGGTTAGTCTTGATTCTTACTGGGTACCACTGTGGTGTACTCATGCTATGCTTGCAGATCGAGTATTGATGTGGAGACTTCAAGGTATACCTGCCGTCGCATTCGCAGGCCTCAGAGTTACCTTCTGAAGTTTTACTTTGTACTGTTTATTTCTATTCGGGAATTATATCTAGAGATTTTCTAGTGAACTCAGTAAAGCTTATAACTTGTACTATCGGTTTTGGGATGTTATATATCTACTTTGGATTGTTGGATTTATATAGAAATTTCAGGTTCATGTTTAATAGTTGATTGGTTAAAATCTGTTATTAATTCAGTAAGTGTTAGGCTTGCCTAGTCTTAGAGACTAGGTGCCATCACGACTCCTAAGGAGGGATTTTGGGATGTGACAAGTTGGTATCAGAGCTTTAGCTTCATAGGTTCTACGAGTCATAAGTAAGTTTAGTAGAGTCTTCCGGATCGGTACAGAGACGTCTATACTTATTTTTGAGAGGCTATGGAACTATTAGGAAACTTCACTTATTTCATTCCTATCGTGTGAGTTTATTGATTTCGGAGTTTAAGCCTTTGTCATTCTATTCTCTCACACATAGTGAGAACATGAGCTGCGGTTACTGATGATGCTTCCCCAGAGCCGGTGTTGCTAGGGGACGGGGTAGAGGCAGAGGCTGAAGAGGAGCACATCCTGCAGATAGAGCGAGAGCCACAAGTAGCTCCGGATGGAGGATAGGCACCAGAGGCAGCTGTTACTACCCCGAGACTTCAGGAGACTTTAGCGTAGTATGTTTGGTACATTTGCTTAGGCGGGATTGATTTCGGTTGCACCAGCTACTTCACAGATCGGGGGAGGAGCTCAGACTCCCTCCGCCCGTACTCCATAGCAATGGATCCATATTGGCCATGTTCCGGGTGTTATGACAGCATAGTCTGTTATTCC